CACTGTATATATGTGTGTGTGTGTGTGTGTGTGTATATATATATATATAGTTGTATAATAATACCAATTAATAATACTCCAATTAATAATACTCCAACTTGAGAGTTTCTTAAACATATATATTATATTAAATATATATATTATATATGTGACCCTGGACTACAAAACCAGTCATAAAGGTAAATTTTTCGAAATTGAGATTTATACATCGTCTGAAAGCTGAATAACGAAAAGCCAAAAACCCTGTACAGAGTCCTGTAAACAAACTAACACAAAAAAGAAAGAAAATCGGACATGAATCCACTGGAAACGCCATATCTCTGCCCGCTCGTGACCTCTGACCTTTTAGAACAGCATATGGAGACTGTTGCTAGGATACAAACATAAATAAAAGAATCTGTGTCAAAGGCCCACATATTTAAATACGCTTCTTCATTAAAATTGTTACAATCTGGAAATCTGACATTTAAAAAGGTGCAAAAGAGGTTTTGTTCATTTGAAAAGGTTAAAAAGGAGGCAAATGTACAAATCAGGATGAGCAAGGCAAGATCACAAGCTAATTTCCATACTAGATACGGAGGAACAAAGACAACAATAAAAACTGAAATGTCTTGATTGTTTAGTCGTGTCGCACTGAAGCTCTTTTCATGTTATCATCTTGATATCCTCTCTCACACACACACACCAAACGCACCCAACCATCTGTGCCTGGGCAGTAGAGTGTGTTGCACACCATGTGTCCCACTGTTATGTGTCAAACGAGCATCGGCTGGCTCATATGGCACTGCCCCCACGCACGCACACACACACAGAGCACTGACCTAGCCTCTTACACTCCAGTCTCAGAGTGTGTCAGCTCAACGGGAGCTCTTGATTCAAAGCCCAGAACTTCCAGAGACTCAAAGTTCCAGTTTGAGATCTCAAAGATTCAGTGACGCTTCCAGTGCTGGCTTTAAGAACGTGAGTAGTTAAAGACTTTCTACTTAAACAATCAATAAAGTCCATCAATCTGTCCATCTATTTAAAGAATGGTGTGTGGCTGTTTTTCGAAATGTAATTTTAGCACGCTGCATACTATAAAAAATAATAATAATAATAATTTTTACTCCAGTTCAGTTTAAGAAACTCAAATTACTGAAAGTTTAGAGTTTTTTTAAAAACAAAACTGGACTATTATTACTTGAAGTTTAATATTAATTAAAAATAATTAATGTATATAATTTATATATATATATATATATATATACACTGTAT